CCAAAACACAATAGACTGAAAGCACAATAGACTGAGGCTGAAAAAGCAATTAGTTTATTTTCGGTTTGCGTGCTCTTCTGTCTTGAGATGCATGTGTCTAGTATACAGCCCTCCTTCACTTTCGAAAGAACAGGGCTAAGCGGAATGGAAAGCTGAAGCAAACAAAACTGATTTTTTCACTCAGAAAACAAAACTGCTCAAAAAATCTCGGTTCTAAACTTGCATCGTCCGGTGGCTAGCATATCGGCGATCCTAACGTTCGTTCTTTTTTCCTTTGATAGGATTGTAAGCTAACGGTCCTCCGATCAGAAGCACGTGACAGAATTTTAGTCTTGGGAGCGCATTCTGCATATTCCCTTCGAGGCGTTTTTCTCGACACTGATATACGAAAATAGTTTGTTTCTAAAAAGCGCATACTTCAGGGCAAATCAAGCGCTAGTTATCAAAAAATATGACCGGTCGATAAGCGCAGGAAAAGTGGACGAAATTCCGGTAAACTTTTATCGAAAGCTGAAATTTTAAAGGGATGTTTTCTAACAGTCCTGGTGGTCAGTCTCAATTTTTTTAGCTAGAAGCATCTGGCGGAAAAGCAGTTCCGTTAATGACAGAAACCTACGGGGGAATTGTTCAAAAAAAGCATCTTTGCACAGGCAGTTGGCGCGCTGGCCAGGGCTGTCTCACCCAGTTGCTAGAAACGAGTGCTTCTAATTACTAAGCTTTGAGATAAAAAGTGCTAAACGTATCGCACTCTTTTCACTGACTCTGTGATCAACTCTGCTCATCTAGTAGCAGATCACCTGTGCGTTTTATTTAGCACCTACTTAATTTAAGGTCGTCAATTTTTTCGCTGCCGTTATTGTAGGTGCGCACATCGATTTTACTGGAAGATTGCCTTCCGACTGATTATCATGCCTGCAAAGAAACTTCTAGGTAAAAAATTGTCTGGGCTTTGTGAGAGAAATCTATTATGAAAGCAACAAGATTGCCAATAAAAGCATTTGTTGACTATGGGCTGAAAAGTTGGAACAAATTTCAGAAAAGAAAGGAGTGGCGGCGGCGCGCAGACCAAAGAAAGAAAAAAAGCCGATGGATGGTTGCTGGGACCGCCAGGTACGTCTGATGAATCTTTTTGAACGAATTCGGTGATCCCACAATAGCCTTAAATACTTTTAGTGAAACTGTTAGCTGATATCAAGCTGTGCAGTAAATGCTGCCAGCTGTAAGCACAGAATGGTTAGGATGCAGTGTTATGCTAGATTTGACAGCGTGATTTTATGCGTTTTTGACGTGCAGAGCTAGATCACTGCAACAGGTAGCAAAAACGCATATTACAATGACTCTGCCTGTATATGTATCTGTATGTTTGTGCATGCGTGCGTGTATATTCGCCTGTCCGAGTATTTCAATCCGGCAACCAAGCAAGCTCCAGCGCCAAAATTTTGCCAGTTGGTTTCACGACCAAGTGCCACCCCAGGGCCGTGGTACTAGTCCTCACGCATGTCTGGCGTGTGAGCTCGTGAAAATTTCGGCGGGAAAATTGCTAACTTGGGAACAAGAAAAGCTGGAAGGCCGAAACTTTAAGGAAATGTTCTCTACTCACGTACGACCAAAAGATTTCAAATTCAGCTCCTTAGAATCTCCTGGGACTCACGTAACGGCATGGAAAATTTTTGACGGGAAAATTGCTAACTTGGAAACGAGTTAGAAGGCTGAAACTTTAGAGCGATGTTCGGTACTCATTTACGACCAAAGGATTTTAAATTCAGCTCTTTAGAACCGCCCAGGACTCACGTACAGACATGTGAAAATTTTTGGTGGGAGAATTGCTAACTTGGGGACGAGAAAAATTGGAAGGCTGGATTTTTAGGAGAATGTTTTCTGCTCAGTGCGACTAAAAGATTTCAAACTCATCTCTTCTGTTGGGGTCTTTTTCGTGCACCAGCAACTTTTTAAAAAATAGCAATTGTTTTCAGACCGCAGAAGACAGGAAAAGAAACTGGCGGTGCATCCAAAACAGCCAACAATCCGGTGATGCTTGACATTGTTAAAGGTGTGGTTTTGTGAAAGAAATTTACTTTAAAAGCAGTAACATTGCCAATTGAAGTTATTTTTGTCTATGGGCTGGAAAGTTGGTGCAATTTTCAGAAAAGAAGAGAGCGGCGGTTCGCGGATCTAAGAACGCTTATATGCCAAAAAAAATAATTGGCCAACGCGCGGGCTGCCCGTGCGAAGATGCGTTTTTTGCATAGTTCCCCGCGGTTTTTGTCACTACCGGCATCGGCTTTTTGTCATATCCTTCTAGCTAAACAAATTAACTCTGGCTGCCAAAACTGGCAGGAAGCACCCCCTTAAAATTTTAGCTCTCTAGCTTTCTTGGCTCCTGAGTTAGCAATTTACTGGAAAAAATTTTTCACGAGCCCGCACTCGGGTACTACGTATACCCGATGTCCGGGTTTGAGCTCGTTGAGACTTGCTTGGACGGGGAACATCCTCCTAAAACTACAGTGTTTTAGCTT